TTTGCAGAAATGGTTGAAACTATCGCCCACGAATTAGCCCACGCCGTTGTTAGCAAATTGTTAGCTGAATATAGACCTAACAACGGAGGACATGGACCTTTACACGATGATTTTATTTGCCGAATAAAAGAATTTATGGAAGGAACTGACGAACTTAAATCATTTAAAAAATGATGGTTAAATGAATAAAATAAATATTAATGAGAAAAGTTAATGTTGCTATTGACGGACCTGTTGGTTCAGGAAAAACTACTATTGGGAAAATATTAGCCACTAAATTAGGTTACCAATTCCTCGATAGCGGCTTATTATTTCGTCATTTCGCCAAGTTCTGGAAAGAAAATAAATTACCAGAAACGAAAGATTTCAAAGTTGAAAATAATACTATTTACTTTCCTTTTTCAGCCATTACCGGCATTGGTGAAAAAGTGGCGGAGAAAATTATTACTTATCGGCAAGAAAAAGGACAAATTACTAATAATTGAAAAGAAGAATTAGTGAAAGTATTAAATATCAATCATATTCAGCAACTAGAAAATTTGGAAAGATACAATTTGATTCTAAATTAATAATAACCAAAACATTCTCCAAAGTTGATTTTTCCCATTTTCCTGTTCTGCCAATTGGAGCAGTGCGCTTCTTATTTCCTGTAATGTAATGGTTTTTATCTTATAATAAATTGTTGATAAAAAAGTAAAGAAGTGGTAGTTCAAGAAATTTTTTTCTTTCTCTCTCTCAAAGTATCAGAATTGCCGAAATGATAACTAAAATTGAAGCATGAACGAACCACCATAAAAAAAACCGCAAAAGATGAAAAGGAATTTTTCTTTTAACTCGAAAAAGCGATACCATAATTCCGAGAAAATGTGTCAACCTTGTTTTTTTAAGTTAGCACATTTAGTTATTTTCCTATTTTAATTCCGGCACTGCGAGCGGTGCCAGCCACAATTTTCTTGGCCTTCTCTATGTCATCGGTATTCAAACTAGGCATCATTTTTCGGGCTATTTCCTCTAACTCGGCTTGCGGAATTTCTTTTTTTTCTTTTTCTTGTGTTTTTTTTCTTTCTTCTTTCTTTAATTCTTTGTAATTGCTGGGTCTATTTTTTAACAAATAAGTGCTAGGAGAAGTGCCAATATTATACTCATAACTTTTATCATCATAAACAACTATTTTTACATTAACAAGTTCGCCTCTTCTATTCTTTATTTTTTCATCATTATTA